CACAGGAGATTTAATTTTGAATCCGAGGACCTAGCAGTTTGAGGAAAGTCTGTACTTTGGCCATTCAATTGACTGGTTTGTTGGGTAGAAGGTAAACTTTGGTGCTTTCGCTTACCATTTCACCCTCCTCCCACTCTAAGCAAAAATAACAAGTTATATGCTGAAGATCATATGGTGCTAAGGTTTTCCCCCAACCCCCATGTGACAGCACTGTTTGCAGTTCACTAAACATGCAAACAATTTTGCCGAACGAACGAACCGTCATAGCAGCTAATAATGCTGTGTATCCTGCACTACGTTACTGATTGTCAAGATGCTGGTGGGCCCAGATCATTGATTGTTTTGGTGTGCCTGTCCCAGAAACTGATGCTGTCTGGCCCAGTCGCTAGCATCCTACCAACCAATGATACTGTGCAGTCATTGGTTGCCAGGACACAGGTAGCCCTGGGTTTGGTTTGCTAGGATGTTCGCTGAAGCTGGATTTCTGGCTGGGTTCAGCACAACATCCTAGGGTAGCGAACCCAGCCACACTCACTAATCACTACTGGCAAACCAGATGAAGGGGAAGCATCAATGGGCACAGAAGGGGAACTGCAATTGGTTACAAATGGGCATTGTACCAGTCGGCTGCCACCCCACCAGTCTTGCAGTGGTTAGAAAACCTTAGAAGCCACCACAGGCATATCAAGAATGCACATCATAGCTGCTTACCAGAGGGTTAAAAAGTGTTAGCGATATGATAAAGAAAACCTTCCGCAAGAGATAAATGGAGGCTACCACTGATGACCCCTTTCTAAAAATGCTTGATCCGTGCGGTCACATTTGTCCTCAGGGTTGGTTTCACTGATTCAGGAACAAGTACACAGATGATAAACTCTGAATTTACTCCACGCATCCTGATCAGCGTACTCTCGGGCTCATGGAGTCAATATGTATTGAAGACACTGGATTGGCATGGCAATCCACTATGGTATCCCTTATTTTATGGTCACGTTTTTACCGTACTTGCTTGATGGTAAAAGCTCAAAAAATGGAACCAAAAAGCCATACACTGCGATGGACAACCTGTGTGCGTCACTTTTCTTCACAAGGTCCTGAATATAAAGGGGTTTATTGCAAGAGATTGTGGACCGAGACATGCAAATCACCCCATCATGATTTATTAGACAAAGCACTTACAGGACCATTTACCCAGCTTGTATACAGCTGTTCAAGGCTTCATTCAATCTACAGAAAACTACTATGGCTTTTGTGGCATGAACACAAGCTATTGTATTCTGACAGTGGATGCCTGTGGCTGTCGGAAAACCAGATTGGCTGCAGTCACTGTTTGGACCTACAATTTGACAAAAAATTGTCTTTGCACCAGGCGTTGCTGGCCAGGGCTACCCAGGGATTGAATTTCCTGCTAAATCAGCTGTAATTTGTATACGGCCAGCTTTCTGCCTCTATAAACAGCCGCCCCCCCCCCCCGGGGGCCCGCCCTTCACACACGTGTCTAAAACCGCCCCCCCCCCCCTTGGTGCTCAGGCTTACCCAAATGTATATTTTGCAGAACAAGACAGACTTTAAGTGTTTGGAATTTAGGCCTCTGCTATACAGGTCCACAATGTTGACAAAAGTACAGCACACATTCCGAATTCCAGAACATTGGCACACCAAGGCAGCCATGCCAACACACCAGAGTTAAGTCGCCCAGTTTAATGCCCCTTTACCAAGCATGATATGCAAATCTCCCATGAGTTCCTATCCAACCTCTTCCCTTCATAATTACTTTTTTCATCCCAATAGGTTTATATGTGTAAAATTTGCTCTTTTGGTTACAGTGTCTAAAATTTTGACAATACATATGGATATTGTACAGTACTAATTATGTACACTGCACCACTTCTCTAGTCTTGTAAACTGGGTGTAAATCTCAGTATCAGCTCCTGTTCTGTATGTATGGACTCTGCACACTACCGCTTCTCTTGTCCTGCATGCTGGGTGTAATGCTCAGTGCATGTTCTAATGTCTGCATAAACCCTACCCAGTACTACTTCCCTTGTCCTGCATGCTGGGTGTAATGCTCAGTGCATGTTCTAATGTCTGCATAAACCCTACCCAGTACTACTTCCCTTGTCCTGCATGCTGGGTGTAATGCTCAGTGTATGATCTTATGTCTGCATATACACTGCACAGTACAACTTCCCTTGACCTGTATGCTGGGTGTAATTCTCAGTGTATGTTCTTGCCTCTGCATGGTACCACTTATCCTGCATCCCAGGTGTAATTCTCAGTGTATGTTATGTCTCTACAGACACTGCACAGTACCACTTCTGTACGCAGGAAGGAATCTTGCCATCTGTCCTTATTCGCCCAAGTGCACAGCACCAATTCTGACCAGCATCTCCTTTTATCCTTTGTGCATTTGTAAGGTCCCCTTTTGAGCTACACCCCTTAATTTAGCCCTGATCACCCTATAAAGTGTTGACAATTAAGTTTGTACTCCATAACCCCACAGCCGACACTTTGCGTGACTGTGCAAGCTCACAACCTGGCACACCATACACCAATAAAATACACCGGCCAGTGATTAATGAGCCAGAATGGGCAGCTGCATACCAGCAGCTGCCCATTTCCAAGCAGTGCGCTGCTTTGATGAAAAGCAGACTGACAGGCAGGAAGTCAAGTGAGTGAAGAGGTCTCCTTCAGCTAAAGAAAAACACTTCTGCAACTACGGTTGGAAAGCAGTTTCAAACTTTTATTTACAAATGTCACAGTGACAAAAAAAGTTTTTGAAAAAAAAAAGCTAGCTTCTCCCTGAGCCTCAAAAATTACAGAAATATATATGTATACTATATTACAACAGAGTTGACTTGAGTGCTTTTGTTCGCAGACAACTGGAAATATACAATACTATGAAACAAAAAACAAAGAAAATTAGACAAATCCAAAAATTGGTGCTTCCACCCAGTTTTGCTTCCCTCCGAAGAGGTCGGTTGATGTTTAATGCTTCTTGCAGGTTCTTATGGGTTTTTGACCCATTTCTGGATGGACAAACAATGACTTGAGTTAGTTTATGTTTTGCGAGCGCATCCGCTGTGCCCAAAATGTCTTTATAACACTGAAAACAGCCCATAACAAAAAAACAGGATCCAAAAACAAAATCCTGGAGACAGATCAGCTGGTGACAAAGACGCTGACACTATTCCTAGGAACAAAAAAAAAAACCTTCCTCCATGAACATTTTACATGCGCTACTAGCACAATACACATATGGAAAAAAGCTTTACATTTTGCATTGACAGTTCAAAGCACAGACAAATTATTGCTCTATATTCGGAAAAAGAAAAAAAAAATTTAGAAAAAAGACTTACGGGAACATTAAACCATCTAATGTGTGTAGGCAATCTTTCCTCCGTAGCCACCAGCGTTTTGAAATTAGGTATTTTTCAATTCAACGGACAGGGGGAAAAAAAAAGGAGGCTTTAAATAGAATGCAGATAGCTGGCTCTGAAGGGCAATGGGGGTCTTGTGAAAGGCATTTTTTGTCGAGTGAATGTGGGACTTTATTGAAAGAACCGGATGCATTTATTTTTAGACCTGTCATAGTTTATCAGATTCATCCAGGAGGGCCTGAGAGAGCGAGAAGAGGGTTCTTTTATAGGAAAACAATGCAAGAGCCTGAATGGTCTTCAGAGCACAGATGACTGAATTCAGAAAATATGGTCTTGTGGCAGATTTAACCGACTGCTGCCTTTCAAAAAGCTAAATATGTGCCAAGCGTAATGAGACCTGCAACTAAATGCACTTCAACCTACAGACATGAGTTAACATTGCTCCCAGACCCACAATTTTGTTGTTACACATCTCCGCTGAGAATGACTGCACCTATCAAAAACGGTTTTAGTATGGTCATGCCTATAGCATGGCCACCAACACAAACCTGTGCAAATGGCAATGCAATGGCATGCGGTTTTAGGAGCTCACTTTAAAACCAGCAACACCGGTAGATTACCCAATCCATAAACCCAAATAAGTTTCTTTTTACTATTCAAATGTTGCTTAGTGAACAGGAAAGGGCTCCAAAGGACCTTTACCTATCACAATGGGAGGGGGTATCCAACTCATGCAGCCTCTAAGAGGACACATTTCATCAACCCACCCTTTCCATTTCATGAACATCCTACTTGAGAGCACCGGAGAGCTTCAACGCCAGGCTAACGTTTTAAGAGGAAAGACAACAGTGGAGTACCAAGCAGTCTTTTTTTTCTGGTGGGTTAGCAACATAAAGTAGGGGAAAGAGGGATTCGAATAAGCTAAAATTTGTAGATACCCCACTTTGTCGAGCAGCCCAAGTCAAGTTGGATCTTGAGCTGCATTAATCAGATTGATCAAAACTAGTGGCTACTTCACCAGAAAAATTAAGATCAGATATAGCATCATTTTAAAAATTGGTCTACGATTCCTATGTTGGAAAGTATCTATAGACTGTCGAGCAACACAGTACAGGATACAAATACATGACAACAATGCATTCCTGTACACTGATGAAAATTGCCATCGACACAGACAAGATTCCACTATTTAGCCAGTTACAGAGAGATACAACACTTATAGATGCCAACACAACTTGTCAGACTGGAGCCATGGTGCACAGTCAAGTCCACCAGATCACTTTGATTGACGAAGACTAATGGACATCAGATTCTAAGCAGTCTTTCCGGATACTTGTTGCTAGATAGCACAGATTAACATTCAGGTGGAGGGAGATGACTGGTTAGACTTATTCGTGCAGAAATAGCAGTTCCCATACTTGTTTCCTTGCTTCCATACGAGTTCCTTCTTCAGTTGTCTCAGCAACTAATTATTGGTGCTTCTAGACTTCAGAAACTCCAGATAATAATCTAATGAAAATAAAGCAAACACTTCTTCAAGGCTCCGTGCTTTTGATCACATGGAAGGCTTGATTCTTTCACAAGGAAAAAAAAAAATAAAAAAAGTCTCACAGGTGCATTTTTTGAATCTGTCAAGAAAATTCTTCCCTAACAAATTCCTAGTCGAGCCATGGATCGACCGTCTCTCTTCCAAACGACAAAGTATTTGTTATATCTCCAGCGGCAGAGTTACTGCTCTTTGTTCTCCTTCTGTGTCGAGTCGCAGCGGGATTCTTTCTCCTCCTCCACCAGGAATTCCTCTGGTGGCCATCTCAACTCCCCACTCTCTACATCTCCTTCTGTGGGTTCCACCACAATGGAGGGGAGTCTGTCCTTGAGTTTGCAGCAGCGCTCAAAGTCTGAAGGATCTGGGAAGATCTGAAAGAGAATACAAATACGTGAGCTCTAAGACCTCAATGTTCATCAGTAATTCGCAAAGTGTCCTTGCCAAGCCATGCATCAACACATCCGCAACATGCTGGGTTCATGATCTCCTAAAGCAAGTCAACTTATCAATCTGATCATCAAGTGACCCACTTTTGCCATCACAAAAGCTACAAAACTAGTACCATGAGGTCAAATTACACAACACTATCAAAAAGAATTGTCCAACATTTGTAAGGACTACAGTCCTAACAGTCAATGGACACATTTCTTGAAGGGTCTTTATGTTATCTGAATGTATAGCTAGCACTTATCTATATTAAATGATATGGGGCGGACATTGCTGGTCTGCTACTAAAAAAAAACAAAAACAAAAAAAACTTTACTTTTCTGGGTTAGCAGGAGGCCTTTGTGGTGCACACCAACATAGGTTTGCCTGCATCAGAGGCTCCTGTGCTGACAGTGAACCAAAGTCAACACAGCCACTTCAATGACAAGGCTGATGTGATGACCATCAATTAGCACCGGTTCCTTGTGGGCTGGAGATTGTGTATGTTTGAACTTAAAGCAAAATATAGGGGCCCCATGCACAAATCTTGGCTCAGTGATTAAATGTCACCAGTCTGGATGGCAAATCTAAAAAAAAAATCCCTGGAGCTACAAGCCAATGGGGCAAAAAAGTGTCCACCTGAGCCAAACCTGTTGCGCCTTTTCTGTCAGTGGAACCACATTTCCTGGTTCCTCAAAGTAAATCTTTGCTTTGACCATTTAGGATAAAAGCAAAAGGTTTTGTTTTAATCTCCTTTGCCCAATATTATATACTGGCTTTACTTCGCTCTTCCTTGCTTCATTTAGCACTATGAGCTCCTGCATACTTTCAGGTATGCAGGAGCATATTACAACACTGCGCCAATAAGCATGGCAACGTACATTCAGATTAGTTCCTTCATGATGGAAACAGTAGAGGGACAGCAGAAAGATCAAGTGGTCCATTGAGTCTGCTTTTTGTTTCTTCCTTTTTTAAATCTATTTGTCCAAATATAGATCTAGGCTTGTCCAAAACAGGTTTACATTTATATCTTTAAAAAATAAGTCAAGGCAACTGGACTTGCTGCATTTTTCATGAAGACGTTTCATGGGACATCAGAATGAATGAATTGAGAAAGCTGGTTGGCTGTCCATTTAAACATCTTCAGGAAAATACAGCAAGTCCAGTTGCCTTGACTTATTTTTTACAGATATGCCATGACCTGGATGAATGAAAACCTTCACAGACATGTTTACATTTACTGTTGACTGACTCACTACCTCTTCTGGAAGTCTATTCCAAGCATCAACTACTCTTTCCTAACAGATTCTAGGGCTGGCCCTGGTTGGCTTACATGGGAAATGTTTATGCCAACTCATTTCTGAAATCAGTTGGCAGGAGGCCTGTATGCCAGATATCAAAATGATCTTTCCTGCTTCAGAGGCTCCTGTTCTGACAAAGTACGGAACAAAGTCAACATGGCTACCTCAATATGGTTGATGTGATAACCATCAATTTAGCATTGGTTCCTAGTAGGCTGGAACTGAATCATTGTTCCTCTGCCAAAACTCAACCAAGTTTTCTAAACACATTTTTCTGAATTATCTGAAATCAAGGGCATGTCTCCTGAATAAATTATTTTTACACCATATACGGTCACTTATTCACAGTACCCATGAATCGCTATGCTGACAAAGTGATGGAAAGTGTTAGTCAGCAGGTTCGTGAAAGTCGCCGAGTAAAGGTCAGGTGAAGCAGCTGTTAAGGAAGTGGACTTAGCTACTCTATTTTCCGCAAACTCATGACTTTCAAGATCGCAAAACTGTGTAAAGAGGAAGGTGCTCAAAGCCCAGCAAAGAGCGGTTATATAGCACATGTGCTGGGAAGGACAGAAGTAGTTAAAGAGTGGCCAACTTTATGGCCCATTTCCCATGAAGTGTACCTGAACTCCGGGAGGAAAGATGCTGTAAACGAGGACAGGGAAAAAAGGCAGTCTACCGTCTTCTGAACGGTTACCAAATACTTTGCATATGCAAGTTCTTAAAGCATCTCCAGATATTTGGGAAAGTTGAGTATAGCTTAGTGATGCTTGATTGGGCTAAAATAACTAGAGAGCAAAATGGAGGAAGAATCCAGTTTACTATACACTAAGTGTATATCCGGGCAAAATAAAAAATGCTCAGAACATCTCTGCAATGCAAGCACATTGACCTATGCTGTATCCCTTTACAAAATGCTGCATACATATAGAAAAATACATATTGCTCTGCCAGAAATTCAGTGTGCTTAGTTCTAGGTATATGCCAAGCGCAACAGGAGCAGACTTCCCAGCAGCTGCCCTGAAAAACTTTTATAAACCTGGTGATGTCAAAAGGAATACTAAAAGCTGCTTCGTGCTACAGGAACAAGGTAGTCAAAAAATTGATACGGGGGGGCAGGATTAATGCCTGGGGATATGGGTAATGCCTGGAACAAGCTAAAGTGTATTGATACCACACTTTCAGTAAACTGGCCAAAGTTGGACATCTACCTAGATTAACCAGATTGCTCAAATGGAGTGGCTACTTCACCAGAAAAATGGAGATGATATAAAGTCATCTTAAAAAATTGGTATGTGATGCCTGTATTGGAAGGGATCTATAAACTCAGGGTACCCATTCAACTGCAGTAAAAAAAGAGGGGAGGTCTCTTTTCAAGATGTGGGTGTTTGTGTTTAACTGGAGATGCATACAAAGGTCTCCACAAATCGGCCCCACACTACAACGTCCTGCCAAAATACAACCCGAACTGTCCTTTGCACCTCCAAAGACCTTCTGCTCATTAGCTCCCTTGTCAACTCTTCCCATGCTTGCCTCCAGTAGTTCACTACAGACACTCCCATCCTCTGGAACGCCTCGCCCCCATCTCCTTGGCTATCTTCATCCCCATCCATGTTTAGGTGAACCATGAAAACTTGTCTTCAGGGAAGCCTATCCCACCTCTACCCAGCAACTGAACTATTACTTTCTACAATGCATTCCTCCAGTTACTTTTCGCATTCACATGCCCTTCCCTTTTAGATTGGAAGGTCTTTCAAGCAGGGTTCTCCTAACCCTCATCTTAAAAATTGTATTATGACCGTGCTGTCTCCCTTTAGATTGTAAGCTAAAAGTTTTTCAAGAGCCTGCATGGTCATAAGGGAACAGGAACGACAATACCACCAGAAATGGATTGAATTGCGTCAGTTTAGGCTTTACATAAATTGTCAATCCTTTGAACTACTGTTCATTGTGTCATAAAACCAATGTTTTTTTACTAGAATCCCAGAATATAAAACTTTTTTTTAGCTTTAACCTAAGGATTATCACACAAAACCCAATTAAAAACCATCAATTGAGCAATAACTTACAGGTGAACACATGAGGCCAGTTAATAGCATTTGTGGGACTGAATTTGTATTTACTGTGCTTTAAGAGTATAAGGTTCGTTTTTCATGCACAATGGACATTGTAGTCTTCTATAAACCTTGCTTTCCTCTTAAGGGATTAGAACATGTCAACATGTTGCTCAATGGGAGAGACGCGATGAAAGATTGGCTTAGCCAAACACTAAACTCATTTTTGTGCTGGGGGCAGGAATGCAAACACGACTGTTTTATAAAAGAGGATCAGTGGCTCAGACATTTGAATTGGTGCCTTCCAACAATGGGTCCTGTGTACAATTGCCAGAAGGGCTGCTATCTACTGGCCACACATAGTGCCCACACAACGCCCCATGTTGGTACTGTACAGCGATGAGCTATACTGAATACCATGCACACATGTATAGCCAAAGCATTTTATAAAAGATAAGGTTTAAAAACCCCTATAAGTTTATTTTTGCGGTTTGCCATGTGGGCTCTTCAACTTGAGAGCCAAAGGTAAGTCAAAACTGATGTCTACCAGTTACATGATGCTGCCGAGTACGCATAACCGAGCTCTACAGCCATTAAAATGAAATATAGGGTAATATATAAATATAGGGTAATGCTTTTCCCCATAGTTCTCCTTAGGGTAACGGGAGGACACAAACTAGCGTCCTCCCGTCACCCTAGGCTCAGTATAGGCGAGAAGTATACCTGCTGCTTGCGGTATATTGAGACACCGCAGCTGACGCGGATCCCGTCAAGCCCGTCAGTAATTTTTTCGTGTCTAAAATTTAGGAAGATTTCTCTCAACTTCCTGTAGCTGTTTGTTTCTTTAACAGGAAGTAAAAAGGTAATACCTACACAAGGGAATTCTATTCTTAATAGTGGTCCCCATAGGTGACTCCATTGGAAGACTTCCCCTCGTTTTGGTGATCAAACATTTTATATTTCCCATCACATTCTGTCCGTTACACTGGCCCCCAGGACAAATAGAGGGTAAATCTGCCTTGCTAACCTTAATTGCGAAGGGTTCTAATCCATCTCCAAAATGTTTTGGCTATAGATACAACTTTTAATAAGGAAGCACAAAAAATTCAGCTCACCAGTCCTTAGATGTGGTTGCTGCATTTTTTCTGTATTTCAACTGGTAAGCCTGCCATTAACACTTCCTGTCCTTGGGTGGCAACACTCATTGTACTGAATCTATTGAGTCAGTGTTACCCAAGGACTGATCCGTACACACCCCTCAAATCGATGGGTGTGGTTAGCACTTCTGCCTTACAGCACTGAGGATCCCCAGGTGAAATCCCAGCGAGCTCACCATCTGCAATGCATGTTCTCCCGTGGTTGTGGGTTTCCTCCGGGTACTCAGCTTTCCTCCCACACGCCAAAGACATGCTGGAAAGTTAATTGGCTCCTGCCTAAATTAGCCCTGTGTGCATGTGAGATAGGGACCTTAGATTGCAAGCTTGTGGAGGGCAGAGACAAATGTAAATGTGCAACTATGTAAAGCGCTACGTAAATTATCAGCACTATATAAATAAACATGGGGAATGTGTTCTGAAGTCTTAGCGACAGCTGGAAACGATGGACCATATAGGTCTAAGACCTCACACCAAATGCTTCCACTGTTGTAACAGACCAGAAGGGAGTAAATAAATTTGCTAGTGTTCACATATTTATCATTTGCGTACTTTTGCAGTTGCGAATGGTTCTTTTTAGGCCATTTGTCTATTAGTAATTTGTAAAAACCATTTATAAAAAAAGGCCCTTTTCCTGGCAGGCAGCACCTTCACACTGAAACCCCATTTATCAGTGCTTTGAGGTTTTGCAGGAGGTCATGATGCATGCAAACAATTCAGATTAAAGTGATTTAAAAAACAGTTGAAAAAAAAAAAAAGCAGCTGCCGAAGTGAGCGTTCGCTGGATTCTTCGATACCGGCTGGCCTCGGATCCTGCACGCACAACTGAGCCTCTCATTAACACGAGCAATGGATGGAAAGACAGCAATTATAAACACAAGAGCTTCGTCACTTCTAGAAAATCTAACTGCACCGTGAGACTGGCGGCTGCTGGTTATAGAGGTTCTTTGCAGAAGCGAATACTGCATCCTCAAGATAACCTGCCATACATTCAGTGAAGCCAACAACTTATTGACAGACAGAAGAATTCATGAAGCCAGTGAAAACTAGAGATCATTGGGTGTGATTAGATAAAAACTGGAATCGCCACACTGTTTTCACTTCAAGTTTTCACTTTCATTCACTAAAGAAAATGAACCAAAAGCATTTTCTTGTTCAGAAGTGATTCATAATGCAGAAGTCTGTTAGGGGCTTCCTGTTTCTCTAGTTCCGTTACCGTAATGCTTTGCCTTACTGAATAAGTGAGTCAGAATTTCCTCTGAAAGCCACCGAGTAGCAGTAAACATATTCAACGTATTAAAATAATTTCCAGGGACAAGGACGCAGCATCTCATGTGATGGGCTTAGCCCAGCTTAGTAGCAGAGGATCACCGAGCTATATACAGTAATGTCGTGCGAGCCGAATTTAAACATGATTGCATAGGGCTACGGACTCCTCCCATCCCCTGCACTCAGGCCAGGTAATTCGCTGCTCAGGTCAATGGTGAGGGGAAGGAGAGAATCACATGCACCCCAAAGTCCCTTTATACATGAAACCAACAATCTCTTCCTCATATGGTTGGAACCCCCAACTATCAAAGGGGTTTTCCTGTCTTATTGGGCTGGAACCCCCTATTTCTCAAAATCTCTTCCCAAGGTCAAATCAAGGTGGAACTCCCAACTATCCAAGATTTATTCCCATGATGATATCGGTCTGGAACTCCCAACCAGCCAAGATTTCTTCCTAAGGTCATATCAGCTGGAACTCTCAACTAAGATCTACGATCTAAGATCTCTTCCTGTAGCCATATTGGGCTTGAACCCCCAATTATGCAAGATCTCTTCCCAAGGTCATATTGTAGTGGAACCCCCAACTATCGGAGATCTTCTATAGTCATATTAGGCTTGAACCGTTAATTATCGAAGATCTCTTCCTATAGCGATATTGGGCTGGAAATACCAACTATCCAAGATCATTTTGCTCTGGAACCCCCAACTATCAAAGTTCTATCATCACTATTACCTTCATAACCTAGGAGGGCATTCTGATTCAATAGTTAAATCAGATATCAACCTCATATGCCTGTAAAGTGTGACAAGTGGTCAGTAATGAATACCAGGTATACATTCGAGGATGACAACATTTTCCAGGCACACATTTTGAAAACCTAACACAATCCCTTGAAAACCTAACACAATCCCTTTAAATAAGTAGCAGATGGAAATGACGAGGCACACAATTATCGCATTATGAAGGCCTAGGCCCATAGGTGAGGCCTGTTTTCCATAACAACCAGACTTTGCCTTCCCAGATTCAAACTGAGCACAGGAGTATTAAAGAATATTTTTAGCCCACAGGCCAATATGTACAGGGCCACTTGTTGCCCATAGCAATCAGACTCTCCCTCTCAGGATTCCAACAAGTATAGGGGAATAGAGAGGGAATTTTACAGTGCCTCTGAAGCCTATGCCCATACAGCAGGGGTAGCAAACCTCCGGCCCTCCAGCTGTGGTGGAACTACAAATCCCATGAGGCATTGCAAGATTCTCAAAGCCACAGACATGACTCACAAAGAGATGCATCATGGGATTTGTAGTTTCACCACAGCTGGAGGTTTGCTACCCCTGCCATACGGAGATGCTCGTTTTCCCAGAATTCCAGTTAAAAGGAGGTATTACTCTGCCAACAAGGCCTAAGTCCACAGATGTGCCTTCTAATGTTGGTCATAGCAAACTCTCCCTTTTGGGATTCCAAGTATGGAAGTATTAAAGGGAATATTACGGACGCCTTGGTCCACAGACCAGCCTGACCATAGAGATTGTTGTTAGTTTCATGCTTTTTGAACCTATCCTTTGCCCATTCAGTTCTAATCTTCCCCCTCTGCCACTCACTGTCCCTATGCTCCCCTCCAACTGGAACAAGCCAACTGGTAAACCCACAGCAACCATACTCCTCAAATGAGCATTAGAGGAAGTATCCAGGTGCTCTAGGCGACAATGGCTTCTGACCTCTGAACAGGTTGGCTTTTACGTGGATTCTTTTATAAGATTAGAGAAAAAGAAAAAGTTGTAACCACCATGTCCTCATCTCCAGGAAAATGGCAGCCAGGTCCCGATTGGCTGCATTGTACACCACCTTCACCTTTTTCACAGATCAGTGCTTGCTGCCAGCATCTGCGTGTGTTTTATTTACAGATAAACCTGCTGTTTTACCAGCTTAGTCACAGCCTGCTGAGCTGCTCTGGCTTATAGCGCTATAAAGTACATTACATTGCGCACAAGCACTGCCAAATGTCATTACGTGAATGGTTTAGTCAGCCGTTCCAAATTTAGCATCTGTATAACAGCAACACAACGTATGGAATTTTACTGCTCAGTTACAGAAGAATACACATCTATTATCTCAAGAGGAGTAAAAAAAAACCAAAGCTCTCTGCAATTGTGTACAAAAGCATTAAAATATAAAAGGCCAACTTGCCTCATCTACGTGTCACCTTTAAAAAAATGGATTTAAAAGGAGCACGCTAGATAAACATGAAAATGCTGCCTTTAGAATCAGCGACAAGCAATGTTGTGTTCTGCCATTTACCTTTTGCAAAGGAGTGGCTTAGTGGTTAAAACGTCTGCTTGAAGCACTGTGTTCCCTGGTTCAAATCCTGGTCAGTACACTATCTGCATGGAGTTTTCATGTTCTCCCTGTGCTTGTGTGGGTTTCATCCCAACTCCAAAGACATGCTGGTAGGCTGATTGGCTCAATGTCTAAATTGGCCCTGTATGTATGCGAGATAGGGACCTTAGATTGTCAGCTCCTTGAGGGCAGGGAGTGATGCGCATTATATAAAGCGCAATGTCCATTGTCAGCACTATATAAATACCTGTAATAAAGCATGCAGAGTACGTGCAGCTGGGTAAATGGCTGACATGTTGCTTTGGTAAAGCACAGGTTCACTTTAGAAGGCCACTAAACACTACATGCATTGGGGGTTAGGTTATAGCACCCATACACTTGCAGATGTCCTGCAGCAAAGGCTCGGTTCACAGAGCAATCACAGGTTGTCACTTTGCAGTTTAACCTTTTGCTCTGCAGTTTCCATTTGGACTGGCCAGGTCCTTTGAGTCACCCAAATAAAACAGCCAGCGAGGCTCCGAATAAAGGAGGGTTCTTGAACTTTGGGCAGAAATTTTACCAACCCTTACAGTGCGTCTCTGAAGGTTCTCATTCATCCAGGTCATGGTATATATGTAGAAAATAAATCAAATCAACTGGACTTGCTGTAATTTTCTTGAAGATGTTTCGTTTGCCATCTGACTAGCTTGTTCAATTCAGACTGGATTAAGAAAGCTAGTCTGATGACCAGCGAAACTTTTAGAAAAAAAAAACAAGTCAGTTTTAATTCATCTTTTACACCCTGGCTGGTCAGACTAGCTTTCTTAATCCATTCTGAATGGATTGCTCATTTCTGCCTAGGGTAAAAAAAGTTATTACCCAATCCTCTGAGTCAGCCAGCTTAGACCGGTCCCTGGAGCATCTGTCCTCATCTGCTGCAGTGGTCTAGGAATCCGAGTCATCACGTCCAATAGAGTATAGGATGTGACGATGCAGACGGGCATACCATCACTGCAGTGGAGAAGAAGAAGCAGGAGGGAGTGCTGCCAGAGGACCAGGCGAGTATATTTATGAACTTAGACAAAAACGAGCAGGTAACCCTTGCAGTGCAGGAGTCACCCCACTGAACAGGTTAACATTTCTGCCCGAAGATCTGAAAAAAAAAAAAAAAAAAGCAATCGTTCCATCTACACAAGCTGCACAAGGGAAAACGCCTGAAATGTGTTCCACCATCACGTACCTGATAGGAATCTTTGCGGGGACTTAGGCCAATCTCATCCATGGGCTGAGTATTCATTATTACCTCAGTCATTTCAGCTGATCGAAGGTAATCAGTGCTGCAAGGGAAAAAAAAAAAAAAAAATTTTTTTGTCCAGTTTTATAGTTTTTCCAACATTTGTTCAATAAAAAGCAGTTACACAAAAATAATCCTCTAAATTGATCCAGTCTTGAGAAGGTGTTGTGCCAAATTCAGTATTTCATGCCATCACTCACTGTAGCCGAACCCACTATCCCCTCACCTTTCCCAGTGTTAGGTTTTCTGCAGGCGTGCAGAGCATGGCAGGATCGGATCGCTCTGGATAGTTTAGGCCGGGGAAACTGATGAGGCAATAGGCCGGTACTGCTGATTTCTAATTAACTAGAGGTGGTGAGCAGATTCAAGGTGTTCTCTAACCTCGTTGGGGGAAAAAGTAAATCTAAGCCGGTGGGGTAACTATAGCCATAGCAGCTGCTATGGGGTCTGGGGGTACAGTACTGTGTTATTAAGGGTTGGAGTGGTTGCAGTTGACGGCAAACACTAATCCCCTGTAAAGTCTACAGTTTAGAGGAAGTCAGATGAACAAGGAGTCAATAGGATTTGGCATCATAATTTACAGCTCAGAGAGGTCAAAATGGCCCCCATCGCATTTTTGCTATTGTGCCCTGTGATCTGTAGTTACGGCCCTGCTAACAGCATACCTCACTTTTTTCCCTTGTTGTCCCCTTTCTTTGGGGACTCATTTCTGAAAACTAATTTTTGAAAAACTGTCCTGCATGTGTGGCTTTTGGAGTGGCCATGCTGCCTTACAGGATCCGCTGGAGTCCCAGCACCCCTACATGTGTTCCTGGGGAGGACCACACCTAACCGCCCCAATGTTCCATCGGGCTTTTGGGGTGTCTACCCCCATTTTTGGTCCAAGCCATATTGATACACTCCCAAAACTGATTAACTCAACTGATCGATTACAGGGAAATCCATTCCCTCTGTCACAACCGTTAAGAGTATCAAAGTTACGGCAAAGGCTAGGCCCCTTTCACACAGGCAGTGCGACCGGGTCAGTTTTCCCGGCAGACCCCATCAGATGCCCAAGAAAATGAAATATGGAGCAAGCCGTGCCATCGGATATATGATGTTACACGCATCCTGAGTTTCTGTTTCAAAAATCACCCAACACCAGAGTGCAGGGGAAATGTTATTTTTGTCACTGGTCGGCAGTCTGACTATTGTGAGAACTTAGTTTATTCCGGAGGATGGCCGACTTCTCTTTGTTGACCACAAATCTAAAGAATACATTATATCCCTTTGGGGGCCGTAGGGCAGCACTTGAAGACAATACACACTAGCGCCCGTACGTGCGCATTTATGAGTTTTAAAAGGATTTTCAAAGCATTTCATGAACATTTTTCAAGCTTTTTGAAGCGTAGTTTATTTCATTTACTGCTTCCTCTGGTTATGGTAGATTCAAGTGTTGACAAGGCACGCAAGCATTAAAAGAGCAAAATATGCTTCGATATATTCGGAAAACTGGATGTGGATTATAAAAATGCCCCAAACGCTGTAATATGAACAGTCCCATCTGTAGACAAAGTTATTGCTTATGTCCAAGAATTCTGACAGCAATTTGAAATGCTTTGATACAGACAACAGGTCATAGGAAAGGTAGAGGGCACAATCGGTCATTTGATATGAGCAAGCCAAAGGACTAACTGGAAATTTTCACTCGCTGTCTACAGACGACGTCTGAGTGTACCGTGATAGGATCATGGACTGGAGATTTAGAAAACATCACAAAACATCACAAGAGACTCCATGTAGATACAAAGGCAAAAATGAATGCAGCTATTTATAAGGGAAAGATGTATATGCACCGGAATTTGATTTGATCAGCTTATTGCCACGCCGGCACGGCAGAGCTCAGACTAGGAGGTAAAGGCAGCATTAGGAGCACATCAGTTCTGCTGTAGGGCTCATGTGCCAACAAGGGTCATGCTGATAGGAGAAAGTAGAGTGACAGATGAGCTCAGTCTGCTACTTCACCTTTCACTGTACAATCAGACTGGGAGAGGGAGGAGACCAATCCTTTGCCAGTAAAACAGGTCCCATCTTTGCAATTTATCTGTGTATTTAGCTTTTAGCCTGGAGTTTGCTGTTTATGTGCACAAATGATTAGAACTTGAACATTCAGATAAGACCATGTCTGGTTCTTCTAGCCAACACAATTACATGAGAGTTTTAAGTCCAACAGGTTGCCCATATTCTGTACATGCATTTATGAAAATTACCCAATTTGTCCTCAAAGTGGGTAAATATCTTATTTAGCAGTTGCAATGATTCTCTGTCTATCCTAGGAGGCATCATTATGGCTGGAGGTGCCAAAGGCCACTCTGATGCTACCACCTACCGCCAAACGAGATGGTGATGGTCACCATGAATGTTGGAGATCTCCAAAGCCAGAATCGGTGGTGTAAGGGCACTACAACTGAACAGATGTCTCACCAACAGCAACGGGAGGGGGGCAACATATCTTCCTAATGGAACCTCAGCAAATATCGGACAACCCTCAGAAATCAGCCTAAGGTGCACCTTCTTAGGACACTAATCAGTGACAATTAACAGAACAAGTTGGAATATGTATGGTACAAAAGGCCACACTGATGCTACCACCTTCAGATGACCATCTCAAATGCGTGATCTCAAAAAATGCTTGAATTTGGGGCATCAAACCAGTTGGCATTGCAACACGGTGGTTGTAGGTTGTTACCCCAGGAGCAAGGCAGCCAATGCTCCTTAAAAATTACAGCTGATGCCCAACTTTGAAGGTTGTCTAATTGTTGTCAATGGAGCTGGCTCCTAAAAAAATATCCTTCTGGCTCCTTGAATGGACAGGCTGGCTCCTGAATTCCATATTAATTTGTCCATTGTCATGTAAATGGTCTTTATATTCTAAAGTGCTGCAAAACTACTGTCCTAGAAAATAAAAGTGGGACTTAAACATGGCAGAGTGGCTTATCCTTCGAGCAGAGTCGTCCGGCATTAAAACCGCTGTGCAAAGCACATTCCAAGGTGCACCAACTTTATTTACTGCAGGAATCTGTACACAAGCTCATACACCTTGAGCAAACAGGCCTTCAATCTCCTGGGTATGACAGGTCACAAAGGAGGCTGAAGATCTCAAAAGAAAAAAAAAAACAATTCAACAAAGGCTTGCCGCTTGCCTTAAGCAGCGAGTGGAAACTATGCAACTCCATTATCAGACACCTTATCAGGACTGTCACCAAACAGCACAAACAACCATCCATTCAAATGACACTATTGTGTTAAATGACAGGAGAATGGAGACCATCAATCAATATATATTTTAAGCCCATTTTATTTTACATGACCAGGATCAACCAACACCACGTTTTACCATGTTAACTAGATGTACAAAGAGAAGTAGTTGAATATGCAACTTGTCTTTCCACTTGTATGCCTTTTGTGCCGTGTCCGACTACATCAAAAGAGGGACCTTCGTAATGGTCTCAAGTCATTTATATGTAATGGCATGTTGATGTTAGTAATGCACGTTTTTGGGTTTTCCACTGCAATGAACTCTGCAAAATTATGAGCAAGCTACTGGGATATTATACCGTTTCTTCTAAAACCAGTCCAGTTGTATCTATGATATTGGGTATGAGCAGTGGACATTGGACAAGCTTCTATACATACAGTTCAGAAGGTACTAGAACATTTACTGTTGGTTGCAAACTGTTTCTAGATGCGACATACGGGTACAACATACGTCCTGCGCATTGGCTGATGTTTCAGCTGGTTCACCATTAACAGATCCTTACAAAACATTCACATTTGTCTGACCCCAAAAGTAGCTCTGAGGAAGGGAGAATCTCCCCTGAAACACATCAGCTTCTGGTCGCCTTTTCATATATGTTTGCCATTAATTGTTCACCGAAATGCGAGTAGTTTTAGGTCAAATTTGCACTCCATTTTCTATTAAATGTTTTTTACACTAGGAGTGGGCGCCGTCCTCTTTTCTTGTTCCAAAAGAGCTTACAATCTAATATGCCCCTCACAGTGACAATCACAACTAAGTCCCCATTCACACTTAAGCATGAGCAGTTTGATACGACAGGTTTTTTTGCTTTAGATATTGGACCGCTAGTTATTAGAAAAAGCATCTTACCTGCACTCTTCAGGCATTTTTTAGCCACTCCCATTGAAATCTATGGAACCAAAAATACACAATTCTCCCTGCAAAAGGCTCATGCAAACTTGGAGCTACAAGCGACAATGCTCAGGTGTGAACGGGCACCATTGAAAATAAAGAGATTCTTCATGTAGAACGTTGTTGCAGTTCAGGAAACGTGCAACAAAACGCTTATGTGTGAAAGCGGGCTAAGAATCATTTTTGTGGAAGCCGATTACTCTTCCAGAATGTTTTTGGACTGTGTAAAGGTAAGGTCCACCAATGAGGAATTTAAGATTCTATTCCCAATGTGTTCTTGGTGAGAACAGAGCAGGACCACAGCACTACAAGAGAAGACCGCTATGCACCTCGCTCCCATACTCTTCACCTTCCTACCAGTTTTTCAAAAACTTTTGCAATTAGAATGAGCATTTCAGATTATTTTTAGCTGTATCCTCTTGAGAGCTATATAGCATGCAAGTATCTGCTTGTGACCATGAGGTTTACATCCAAATGAAGCTTTTTTTGAGATACAATTATTTCAAAGTAATTCAACTGCATTGCGTGCTCATGTTTGGTCTAAAGCTCACCATTAATGGAGTCCTGAAGGTGCAATGCAGCACCTATTTAAATAGCACCAACATCTTGAGCACTTTCACAAATACATCACTCCCTAGCTTCAAAGGAACCAATAATCCAATGTCCACAACACAGTGCTAAAACACCCCTTAGAACAGGGCAGGAGGCGCCTTAAAAACTGCAGCTGGTGCCTAACTTTTGAGGCACACTAGTTGTCGTCAACTAGGCTGGCACCTGGAATAGACAGATTGTCTCCTGAATTCCATATTAATTGGTCTACCACTGCCTTAGAGCCAGTTTGTTTGGAGGGCCCGGTGTACATTTTCAATTGCCAAAGAAACTGAAGCACCTGGAGGAAGCACAAATTCAGGGAGAATATGCAAAATCCATAAGACTGTAATCCAGGTGAGAATTGCACCAAGGTGGCTTCAGGGGTACAAACTCTAACCACTTGGCCACCATTTTTCCTAAGGCATTTCCCGATGTGCTAGCCGCCTCTAAATCTCAACTACCATTCTGGTGAATGAGGAAAAGAGGAAGCCTTAAAATGTTAATCCAAATTAAAGATCACAGTGCTTTAATTTCTGGTTTGTTGATTCAAACATATGTAAAAACAACATTGAAAGGTTTTCCTTTCTGGTGGAGCAGTAGAGACATTTAATAAGGATCAGTGTTGAGTTAGGTTATAGGCGATTTTTCAGGAAAAAATATTCAGGAACACAAGATGATCATTGTTTAGGTTAATATCCTTTATTCCTGGTACCCATACAAGCACCAATGTCAACATCCTCAGAGTATGCCCCTATTACATTTCCCCATAATACCTAAAAATCAGCCTACGACCAACCAGATCCAAACCCTACCATCTTGTAGAGCCATATCCCCATCAAAGCACACCCCAAGGGCCGACTGTTGCTCTACGAGCCCAAACCAGTTCAAGACCAAGGAACCTGAATTTATTAGGATTGGCCAAAGTCACTCAATTCCCCGCATGAAGAGCTGCAATAATACTTTAAGACGCAACCTTTGATAACGGATTATCTATACAAGCATTAAACTGTTCTCCCACAGCAACAATAATATGTTAATACTGCAGCACACGGCAACAAATACTATTTGTAAATCTGATCATTGCACGTCTGTTTAGGACATTTTGTTCCGAAGCAGCACTTTAATGATTTCAACCTAGCGCAGGTTAATAGGGCAGCTTCACTTCCAAGTTTGTTTCCTGGAATATTTGAGCCATTACCAGAAAGCACCAGCACAGGAGGCAAGCGCTCAATGAAAGGAAGGCAAAAGTGATTCATCAATACAGTTTGTGAATGAGAAAATTGGCTGGGGCTTCAATTGCCATTCAAGCTATAGCAAGGCCAGCTCTAGCAGAAAGCATGACATCATCCGCCCAGAGCCAATGCAGAGCCGCTGGAACCCATCTTCACCGCCTCATCCTAATGCAGAATCCCATTGACAGGACACACGCTAGCCCTGCAATGAAGCTCAACATGCTAGGTTAAAATAACAGGAGGAGCCAAGAAGATCAGGCAAGATCCTATACACTGTCACCTTGCCTGTGAGAATACACACACTATTATTATTATTATTATTATTATTCCTATTGGAAGATAAAATTCCTTACCCTGGTGGTGCTAATTGAGCCTTCTCTCTAAATAGTTCTTTCCTACCAGCAAGAATTTTGTTCTTCGCTGCATAGGGAATGGAAAATAATTTACTCAAGGCACCTACTCATAAGAAGCTCCTTGCAATGGAAGGGTTAAATCTGATTAATGCCATCTATGAGGTATAAAAAAAAGTGTACACGAAACTCCTAAGATGCTCATGGCAATGGACAAGATGAAATGTAAGGGTTAAATCTTAGATTCTATATATGGGACGTATATAAGACAGGGAGACATAAGAGTTAACAGCAAGAAGGTATCCAAAGTCACTTTTTTCCCTAGAGGGAAATGCTCACTCGGCAGGCTGGCACATGGACAGTGCCTGGCATGTGAAGGGCACCTTGGCTTTATTCCCAATTGCTATACCTGACACCTAGTCCCATCTGCAGGCTGACAAGGAGGAAGATACATGTCTGCGCTGGCTTCCTTGGCTTGGGGGGGAATTGTTACAAAACTTTGCAGAGAAAAGGAAACAATATGTGCATACAAAACATATACAAAATATCCTGCGGTCTCATAGAAGATTTAGCTCAAGCTGGTTTCCTTTGTCCAGCTTGCATCCTCCCTAGCACAGGATGAGAAGGGGCTGATCCCCCCTCCTCCTTTTTCCTTGAAGTACATAAGAACTTACCAGGGAATAGGGTAGAAAACAGACATGAAGTCCTTAAAGGCTGGGGGAAAAGTCCTACTTAAAGGGGATGATCACAAAGACGTTCTGCTCAGAGGGATGTCGGTGAGACAAAAGCCAGGTCACTGCAGTCCGATGCCCAATTTCACAACAGCCTGAGCACGTTTGCTTTCTCGGAGCACTGGAGCGCTCTGCAATCGCCCGAGCCGGCGGCTGCGGCTTTTATAACATAGGGGGCGTGGCCGGGGACCAGCTCAGCCTGGCCGTGCTGACGTCACCCAAAGCATGAATGGTCTGGGCTCGCTGCTCATCCCTTGGATACAATCAGCTTTGGAGCACATTCATGCTCAGTCATCCCAGCCAGCCAATCAGGGCTCACATCAACAATTACCTGCTGCTGCTGCTTCTTCTCCTGCTTCTTCTGGTGCTGCAGGCTGGGCGGCTGGAGGCTTTTGTTTCTATTATTATTTTTTTTCCTTTTCCTCCAGATTTTTTTACCCTTTAGGTAGAAATCTTCTTTGTTCAGCAATGTCTTTTTAAAGTCACCAGCACTCTTTTGTCTTCCCCTGCACCTCGGTGACACGCAGGGGCTAAATTTAGCGCTGCGACGGCGGCGTGCACACCCAGGTTGACAAAGCAAAAGCCGGTTGTCATTCTTTTTTTTTTCTTATTTTTTTTATGCTACAGAAAGAAAAACAATGAATTGCGCGCAAGCTGGTGCGGCAGATTCCAGAAATACCTGGGGGGACGCAGGCATATCTCGCTGTCGTATAGCAAGCCCTGCGCCGGTGCGGAGTAAGGGTTTGGAATGGGCTGCGGCGGCGTTGTTGGGCTACTTGGTTAAGGGAAATTCTGCTTTTGCACTTTTTTGTTGTTGGGGAAATCTACTTTACAGCAGGGCCGCCATCAGGGGGGTACGGCCAATACTCTTGTAAGGGGCCTGGGCAAAAAAAAAATAAGGTATATAAGGTATATAAAAAACAAATGCTTTCCGTTGTACACTCTGTAAGAGCACCCCGCATTACATACAGCCTAGTGGATTAGTGGTTAGCACTCCTGCCTTACAGCACTAGGGTTCCCCAGTTCAAATCCTGGTCAGGGCATTATCTGCAAGGAGTTTGCATGTTCTCCCTGTGCATGCATTTCCTCCCACACTCCAAAGACATGCTGGAACGTTATTTGTCTCCTCTCCAAATTGGCCCTGTATGCATGTGCAATAAGGGACCTTGTAAGCTCCTTGAGGGCAGGGGTGTAGTATGTAAATTGTTGGTGCTAAACTATATAAATACAGCCCAATACAATGCTGAAAGGTTATTTGGGTCCTCTATAAATTGGCCCTGTATGCATGTGTGATAGGGACCTTGTAACCTACTTGAGGGCAGGGGTGCAGTATGTAAATTGTTGGTGCTACACTATATAAATACAGCCCAATACAGTCAATTGCATTCCCATAGTGAAATGATGCCCGAATAAAGATGGCTCTAACTTTAATGTATAGCATGGGACAAAAAGACCCCAAGCCCACCCATGTCATTCATAAAACCTCTTGGCCAATCTGTGGCCCCTAAGGTATCATAAAGATACCTAGCGGCACAATGTCAGATGTGCAGGGCCCAAGAGAACTTGCTCTGCGCGTCCTACATGGGATAGACGCTGACCTCCCCCCTGTAGGTCCGGTAATGTATGGGGATGTTAGGGCTCCACCTAAGGGACATGACCGGGGAGAGGGAGGATTAGTAAAGTGGACCTAGCATTGGGTATTTTTTCATGATAGAGGTATGAATGCTATGGTAAAGTATATCACTTTGGGGGTTATTCACAAAAGTGTGAAGAGTTTGGAGAAGGCAGGATAAGTGAACAATCTAGGACAACATAGCTGAACTGGAAAGTGAGTGGAGTTGGAGAAATTTTCCAAATCAGCTATGTTGGCCTAGATTGTTCACTTCTCTTGCCTTCCCCAAACCCTTCACCCTTTTCTGAATAACCCTTCAGGTATTTAATTATTACCTCCCCCTGACAATGCCTTCATCTGCTTTCCTCTCCTGAAGAAGGCAGCCATCTTTTCTCAGGTCTCATCCAGGGTCACCATCTACTTCCTGGACAGAGATGTCGGCTCATGGATGACACAATCATGTAAATCCTGGTGCCTGCTGTAGCCTCTCACCTTGCGGCTTGTTACAAAGTTGACATGATCATTTCATTGACACAATGACCTGATCTCAGCCTAGGCAAAGTTACCATGGTGAGTTAGAACAGGCAGGACCGGATTTACCTTCTCTGCCGCCCCAAGGCTGGGTTCGGCAATTATTTTTTTATCAATTTTTTTTCACCTAACTTTATTGCTATCACACAAGAGCTAACAAGTCACTGTGTGATAGTATTTGGAGGTGACAGGTTCTCTTTATTGAACCTGTCACCTCCAATACAGGAGTTCTAGCACAGCATTGTGCTGGAACACCTGTGACAGGTGAGAGAGGAAGAGCACAGCTCTCCCCTCTCACTGTCTACACGGAGCGGCAGGGCT